CATGGTCCATCTTCCACTGCTTTCCCAGGCCTCAAAAAGAGAGCTGGACTGGAAGAGGAGCAGCCGAAACACAAACCAGCACCCATATGGGATGCTGGCGCTGCAGGTGGTAGTTTAGCCTGCTATGCCAGAGCACTGGCCCCCAAGCTGTAATTTCTTTACATCTGGCCAAACAATTGATGGTTAAAGAAGTGTGACTATGTTTTTGTTAAATAGATACCAACTAATGTTATTCCAAATAGTCACTTTTATTCATTTCTGCATTCCCAACAGTTATGTGTTTATTCTGGTTCAACTACATTTCAATGAGTAAAATTTAATAGCTTTACCATGACATCAGTTGCACTAGTATCTAATTCCTTAAAGTCATTGTTTTTTTAATGTGTATCAATTTGGAAACAATCACCTATAAAGGGGACTTCAAAAACTTTATGGAAAATAAAATTAAGAGGTAAATTTCATTAGTGGTTAAAAAGAATGGAACTCATGTGTAGTTTTCCGTAATATATATTTCCAAGAACTTTTTGAAGTACCTTGTAAGGTCATATTGTTATTTAAAATGCATTGAATTCTGGTCTTGTCATCCATGTAAAATACAGATTTTTCACATCCTTAATCCAAGATTTATGAACTAAATTCTGTCCCAAGGGAACAACGATCTCTGCAAATGCTTAGCCTGCTTCCAATCACTCCAGCACAACAGCCATATCCTTAAATCCTCTCATTCTGTGGAAATGACCTTCACCTCTGTGACTGCAGGATCAGGATGGTGTGGCATAAGAGTAGAGCAAGGTTATTAGCCCCGGGTTCCCATCTTTCTTGGTGGGACTCACTGAAGCCCAGAACTTGAAACCTAAAAATTCCAGAAGCCTATTCCCTTAAGAAAGACACATTTCTCATGGCCAGCCTTCCAAGTCAGGAGCTAATAATATCCTCAACCTACTTGCCTTTTGCAGATATGTGTGACACAAAGTACAGATAATTTCTGCTGGATTGAACCCATAATGAAGGAATTTATAATCAGTTCTAATGTATTTGAGACCTAAAGTATATTAGCCCTTCATCAAAGAGAATGATAAAAAGCAGCATTAATATGGGTGGATAGTAATTATTTCAGAGCTCATAATTATTCTGCAGTTAGAGAAATGCTGATATTTTTATTCCCCCTTTTTAAAAAATAAAATGCACTGTGGTCAGATTCTAAAATGTAAGACTGTATCACATGTGCTCTGTAAAGTGATACTTTGAGTTATGCTTAGATTAATCACAGATTAACTATTTTAGGATTGAATGAGTTCAAAGTTCATGGTTAGGTGTTCCCTTTACCTCACTTAGACTGGTGGTTTCACTGAATCCATTCATTGCCTGTAGGAGACATAAAATACAGTAATTACTCTTACTTCCTTTCCAATGACAGGAGGCCTGCTTTCCTGTTAAATCTAGTGAAAGTTCTGTATGTTCCTTGGGGAGGAGAGACCCAGTAGAGTTTCAAGGTAGAATAAATCACTTCTACATTCAGATTTTAGTGGTCTACTTTGCTTCACATTTTGGTGCTTTGAGATGCCTGTTATTAACAGCTGGTATTGAGAATGCAGTATTGTCATTTAAAAGAAGCATAAACTGTGATTGGAATATTGTTAATTATTGTTATTCATATTTTAAAGGTAAATGAGGAAATCATGTTTCTGAATTTACAGGCATATGCGCCCCTAAGATGTCATTATCTGCTTGTCATAAGAAAATAAATGCCAATTACTTTGACAGTACTTTCTATCACTTTAAAGTTCGTTAACACCAGTGATTACATCAAATTTAACAGTTTAGAATAAAGGAAAAGTGAGCCACAGTTGCTGATGTGCTAGCAAAGAAGAGAGTTTAAGGAAGCCTGCAGCATGGGAAAAAGGAATCTTAGGATCATGCAGCATTCTTTGGCTTGATTCAGACGCATCTCTTACTCCACTGAGACATCCTCAGAGAAGGGAAAGTTGAGTTTCTCCATTTGCAACCCTAGACACTCTGAGATATTTATTCTCAGTGCCTTTAGATGTAGGGCATATGGGAAGTCTGTTTTCTTTCTTCTTAGAGTCAGTTTTGCCAAAAAATTGTTAATCCTTTTGTTCTCAGGGAACCTACAAAATCAGATGTGTAAAAAAATTATTGATATTAACAAAAACCATTTATGCTGCAATCCCTGAGTACCACTGGAATCCATACTATAGAAATAATCTAATATCACCTGATAGCAGAGTGTTATATAGTATCAATAAATGAAATAATTTAGATGGGAGAACTCAACTCAAACTTCTAGTATAGTCATGTTCCCACGTATTTGAAAGACTGAAGTAATAGTAAATGTTCCTAACTCTTCAGGTTTACAATGATAAAGATGTATTTTGCAATCATTAGTTACCCTAATTTGGTTTAGAGCCATTCAGATTCCTGACAAGGAGCAATGATAATAATATAGTAAGGCTCAATCAAACCTTCCACTGAAAAACTCTCTCTTTATATAACTGCAGTTATAATTTCCATGACTTCACTACTGGCCAACTCAGTGTCAAATGGTGATTAAGACCTGTGCCCACATGCAAAACAGTGGAGATCATGTTTAGTAAAAACTCTCTCACCACTCATTTCATTTACAACCAAGAGCTAGCCATTTTGTATGTGTGTAATGTCCATAAAATCACTGGCTTGTGGCTGCAAAACCTGATTGATTTCCAATAGAAATCATCTAAATTGCCTTGGGCGCCCTAAGTGGGAAAGAAATACTTTTCTACCTATGTCATCCACAAGAGATATCTTATGGAGCCCTAAACAAATTGAAGAGAATGATTTGTGATAGATTTTACATATGCCTTCAAATATTAGGATACTGATGATTCTGTAAAAAATTTTGATTTCACTTTAGTGATTAAGAAATCTAACCAAACTAGAAAGTAGATCGTGCTTTTGGCAGCAATAAATACTGCTACTATTAATTTATGTTGCTAACTAGCACATAAAACCATAACAAATATACACACTGGAAAAGAGGGTTGTGGAAAAATGTATGTTTTGCAGCCATTAGGTTATAACAGAAAAATATGAAGCATGGACATATCATTTTCTAAATCTAACATATTGAATTATATTTGAAGTTAGAAATATTTCAAATATAGTATTCTGATTCAGTAATTTTAAAATTAAAACTTCAAAAGTTACTCAACTTTTTGGAAATGTAACCACATCATTGTGTGAACATCAAATAATCCGGAGTGCACTTTGCATTTAAACAGGATCATACTAAAGAAATATAGATTTCTGTGAATATGCAACTGAGTGCCAGTTAACATATATCATTGCTTCATCCAGGCTTTCCCTTATGGACTGACTGCTTGAAGGTGTAACTATACAAGGGTATCAATTTGTTGTGTACAGTCAATTATCTGGATAAGAATGACCTTACAACCATGACATTTTAATTGAGGTAATCATTGGATCCCCTCAATTATGTCATCAGTTTCTACTTTTTGGGCCTCTTGACCTTTGATAGTTATTACTATTTCCAAGGCTGCCTCTGAGCTGATGGAATAATACTATATTATATCTCATATTTTGTCTTTTGTTTTCTGGTATGATGTTTTTCATTCTCTGAGAGTTGTAATAGTAGGTTTAGTATTGAATTGCAAATATAATGCACAGTAATCTCTGAAAAGACTTAGAAGTCTTTACCAAAATGTTTAACAATCCTTTGCTATGAAGTGGGCTTAAAGTTAATGCTTGCTTCTTTACTACTGATGTTATTGAAATCAACACATGACTTTCAGTCCTTTTCTTTCTTCCTTTTTTATGACTTATTTTATGCATGACAAAAATCTCTTGCTTATTGCTATGTGGTTGGCTGTTCGTTAACTTGACTGTCTGTGTTTGTAGTGATTGCTTTCTGCATGAGGATTATGAAATGTCATACAAATTAAATGGTTGTGGAAACAAAAAGAGAATATGGGACTTCACTTGCTTTTTTGTGTGCTGAATATGTCATTTATGTGACAGATAAAATTACTTTCATATGGCCTTTGACTTTCCCCGTTGGTGTGCTCCTCATTGTAGCAAATTAGCATTGTTAAATATAATAAAACATTTATTAAGCATTCACAGTTTTTAATACAGTTATTCTTTTTAAGCATGCTCTTGTTAGAAGTAGCTACACTGGGCCTGAAATTGCAGTAGGGCATAATTCCATTATATTACTAAATTGATTATGAAATATAAGCCCTGACTCGGCAACTACCTTCTATTGATGATTTCTATTGATGGCATCTTTGCTTTGCTAAATGGTGGGATTTTCTATTGATAAATTTGTGAAGGTTGCAAATGTTTTGAAGCCACAGCTAATATCTAAATAAAAATGCATGGGGAAATATTTGTGTAATGACAAGTAATTTTAAAAAGTCACAATTTTGAAAAATGTATGAATTAAAAATGTGTAAAGTCTGTGTTAATGCACTGACAAAAAAAAAAAACAGAAAAAAGAAAAAACTAAAAAGGTTCTTATCTGTTTTCCCTAATGTTGTTTTATTATCCCAAATTAAAGAATGCAATTGAACTACTTTCTTTACTGTTGTCACCAATTTAAATTAGAAAAGACACTGAATTAATTAAGTTCTTTCAGCTAATAAAACTGTTTTTTTTTTGTTTTTTGTTTTTGTTTTTGCTTTTTGTATGCAGTGGGTGTTTTTGAGAAATCATTTGCTTTGGTTATTACTTATTTTCAAACTATAGTGTATTTTTAATTCAAAATAAATTCAAAAATTAGATCTTCAATGAAATATTTTGGGGAAAGAGCTTTTTTTTTTCCTTAATGAAAATAGATATTCAATGATGATATTGCTACTTCCCCAGTCTTTTTGGAAATATCCTTGAGAATTTTAGAATTTACATTTATTTTTTTCCCCTCAGTCTTGTTTATTCTTGAATTGTCTTTTTTTTTCCCTCCATTTCTCCGTTCTCGATCCTAGGTCCCCTTACAAAGAAACAGACAGATGATTTAGGTGATAATGACGGTGCTGAAGATGAAGGTATTTTTTCCGCCAAATCTATTTGCATGACAAAGGCCTCAATCACTTTTTCCACCACCTTCTATTTTTTTACTTCTTGTCTTTTTTTGAAGAGTTGTTTTTAATTCCCGTTTTTGATGTGTTTTGTCTTCTTGCTTGTTGTTACATATAAATATACATTTTTAATTTTTTAAAAAAATGAATGTTAAGTTTTACATTTTGGTGCCAACCATTGCAATGTTTTAAAATGAGGGGCATTTTTTGTTTTCTTGAACTGACTTTTGATCTGTTTCATCCCACGTTTTGACAAATTTGTCCACATTCTTTGAACTAACAATCTTACCCTTGCAGTCTCTCTGTGCCCATTTTGCATGTTTTCTAATCTCTGTAAATATTTTGCCCAATATCAAAATGTGTTTCATTTTTACATTTGATATTTGTTTAAAAAGAACCCCACATTCCATAAAAAGAAGACAAGCTAAGTGTTTCTTGAGCAATATATTTGAGACTTAAAAAGTACTATTTCTTTGCTTGATTTGCTTAAATATCATATAAATAAAATGAAATTATATAGATAAGAGAAGGCATTACACCTATTGAGATAATAATTAAATATTGTGAGACCATTTAGTACTCCAGTTCATAATAATATTTATGGTAGAGTTTATAGGTATTCTTTTAAACAAGATTAAACATATATTTTATAAATTCATAAGGACATAATTTCTAGATTTATAGGTAATATATTCTTATTTTTCCAAGAATTGCCACCCTAAGCAATAACATTTCCTACTTCATTAATATCAAAATTGTTTTTTCTTTCCTTTTTTATGACATATAGGTCTATTTCCTCTGCAAACCTAAGTGCTTACCAGATTGATTTGATCTTTTTCCTATTCTATATTAAATTGGGTATCTAGAGAAGCTCTTTGATTCATCTGTTCATCATCAGGAGTCATAATTTTGTCTTTGTTTGACTTTTACTCTAATTGTATAACTTGTGAAGATAAATAACATAAACCTCAGTTTAAAAATGATTCTCAGAAACCAAGAACAAAGCTATCAAAATATTAATAATATGGTTTGAACTATTTTCCAAAATAAAACATACAGCCAGGCCAGCAGAAGAGCTAGTTCCTTGAAGTACAAGGAATGAATCGACTTACATTGTATTCATTGACATATGTATGTGAATATTCCTTCACATTAGAAAATTAAAGAAGTATTAGAAGCCTAACTTACATTCGTTAAAATTTTATAACATAATAATTATTTTGATGAGATTGTTTATGCCATTTCATTGAAAATTAATTTACTGTGAACCCCAGAAGTAGAATGAAGATTACATACAAAATGCTCATTAATATTTTTTAAAAATCAGTACAGGTACCTGAAGGTTATCACTTTGAATACTAAATAACTAACAATAAACTTAAAATATCAAATACAGATTGTCATCTATAAAATTCTCTTGGGAAACTGCTGTCTTCAAACGTTCAGGTTATCTTTTGTTCCTGGGCAGGGTATGGGTTACTCCTCACAATGCTCTCAAAAAGATTGCTTCTACTTTCCAGCTTTGGAATTTGTTGAACCCTCTGAAAATTTTTAACTTCTGGATATTTGTTATCTAATTCATAAAATATAAAGGACTTAGTGTGAATCTTTAGAAATTCCAAATTTTCCAAATGTAGGTTAGTGTATCTGATTTTTTCTATTTTAAAAAGTCTTGATAGCTGATTTAATATGATTTCTTTTTTTTCCCTGTTAAAACAGTAACAATTAAGACATTAACATGTTTAGAATAGATTCCTGCTGAGTGACCACAGTGAGCTAAGTCCTATGAATGCAAATCTGTTTTATAGACTTGTTTGGAAGCACATTTAACATTTTGAAACAGCCATTAAAAATATTCTAAACTCCTACTTAAATTGGCAGGTAGTATTCAAGTTAAGTACTAAGCTACTCAATCACAGGAGTTACCCAATAAATATTATTAAATGCTCAAAAGTACAGAATGTAAAACCTTTCTGTTCCAATTTGATCCTATGAGAAAAAAAGAAAAAAAAAGTTAGGATAGTCTGAGCATCCTGTTTTTCATTTTGTTTGCGAATTTTCTATAGATAAGGGTATAAATGAGAATTGAGTCCAATTATCACATTTAATTTGCTCTGAATGTTGAATCAACATTGTACATAAAACAAGGAGTATAAACAGCTTGATAAACTGTTACTTTGACTTCAGTCGGAAGTCAGGTGGCTGACGATTTTTGTGGAATTATTTCCCAATCCTCCTATACTTTATATGATGTCCAACTCCCTATCCCTGCCACTCTGTCTTCAGGCTACCTGCGAAGTTGACTGGAGTTTCCTTTCCCCAAACCTAATGGAAAACTTCCCAGTGGAGCCCTGCTCTGTTGCTTCCTTTCCTGGCAATCACTCTTTGGTCATCTTTAGGCTAGACAGAATTGTATCATTTTTCATTTGCGTTTTATAATAACTAAAAGAACTATGTATTTTCAGTTATTTTCATAGTTTTAAAGAAAGACTAATCTGAATTGATAAAAATGGTTCAAAGTAATGATCCAGATTTTTTTTTTAAGATTATTTATTTGAAAGGTAGAGTTAGAGAGAAAGAGAGTGAGAGATATCTTCCATCCACTGGTTCACTTCCCAAAATGGTTCCAAAGGCCAGAGCTGGGCCAGTCTGAACCCAGGAGCCAGGAACTTCTTCCAGGTCTCACACATGCGTGCAGGGGCCCAAACACTTGGGCCATCTTCCCTCTGCTTTCCCAGGTGCATCAGCAGGGAACTGGATGGGCAATAGAGCAACTGAGACTCAAACCAGTACCCATATGGAATGCCGGCATTACCTGCTATGCTAACCTGATCCAGATTTCTACAAATTCACTTTGGAAATATAAGATATATCTAAAATTTTTATTGTCCTAAGAATAATTCAATATTAACATTTTAATATTCAAGTACAAGATTTTATCCTACACACAGCTTTTTAAAAATATCTTTTTAGGGGCCAGCATTGTGGTATAGCAGGTTAAGCTGCCATCTTGCTGTGCAAGCATCCCATATGGTCACTAGTTTGAGTCCTGGCTGTTCCAGTTCCAATCCAGACCCCAGCTAATTTGCCCAGGAAAATAGCAGAAGATGGCCTGAGTTTTGGCCCCTCCTCCCAAGTGGGTGGTCCTGAGAGAGTTCCTGGCTCTAGACTTTGGCCTGGCCCAGCCCTGACCCTGTAACCATTTCAGGAGTGAATCAGCAGATGGAAGGTGTCTGCCTCTCTCTCTTCCTCTCTATGTAACTCTGCCTTTCAAATAAATAAAAAAATAAATCTTTATTTGCTTTATAGATTTTTATTTCCATTAAAAATACACCTTCAATTATGTTAATTCCAGTTTAAGAAGCACAATTCCAGCCAACATTTCTATATTTTTGGTGGTTCCTAATGGTAACTATGGTTCAGAAAAATGACTGGGAAACATAAAAAATATCCTGAAACTTATTTTTACATATTTTACACATCAGAGAAAGATGCTTTACAATTTTAAAACTGTTTAATCTCCAAAACTTTAAAATATGGCCAATTAAATATTTCCATAGTCCTTTAAGAAGGAAGAAACCAGCAAACATTTTTTAATGAGTTATATAACTAATAACTGTCATTAACACCATTAAAAGGAGTTGTATTCTCCACTCTGGTGGTTTGGCACAGATAAATGCCCGCTAACTACTCTAGATTATTTTGATACCTGCCACAAAAAGATAAAAATACTGACATTTAAAATCAAGGACCCTACCCAGATTTCAAGTTTGTCTCACTCTCTTTTTTTTTTCTTAAAAAATGAATATACTTCCTAGAATCTTAGCCAAAATTAACTGTGTGGTTTTCCCCCTTATCATTCCACTCTTCAGAGACCTATGTGCTTTACGACACATAAAGACAATGCAAATAACAAAATGGAAAAAGCTTTTATGAACATTTGTAGTTTCACTCAAACACTAACGTTTTAAAGTGTCCAACAGTATTCTGATGATTTTTGTAAAGTCAGTAGCAGATATTTTAGGCAAAGTCAGAAATCTTAACCAAATTCTGTGGTTTACATGTTTCAACTTATTTATAGGTGGTTACCTATCAAATAAGCTATAGAGGGATGACTTAGATCTAAACCATATTTTCAGAGTTCATTTAATGGACTTTTGCTACACATAAATAACACCATGCTTAGCTTTGTTATTACAATGATGGCTTTACCAGAGACTACTCAATGGTAGCCTATTTCACTTTTATTTATAAAAATTCTAATTATTTTTTGAAAGACTTAGCTATTTATTTAAGAAGTCAGAGTTTCAGAGAGAGAGAGAGAGAGAGAACCTCCGCCCACTGGTTCATTCGGTAGACAGCTACAATGGCCAGGACTGGGTCAGATCAAAGCCAGGAGCTTCATGTGGGTGGGTTTCCCAAGTGGGTGGCAGAGGCCCAGATAGTTGGGCCATTAGTATAGATCTGCATCACAAGTGGAGCAACTGAGATACAAACCTGCTCCCACGGGGATGCCAGTGTTGCAGGCAGAGGCATCACCTGCTATACCACAATGCTGACCTCAAAATGCTAATTATTTTTTAAAACATAGTAAATAATTATAAACTTCTCATATTTACTATTAATATCAAGAAGACCTATACTCTGTAAAGTCTAAATAAATATAATAAATATAAAATACTATAAAAAGTTAAATCGAAGATGAGTTAAAGAATTCAAGTTATTCTCTAATAGAAAATTTCTACTTTCTCAATTTTAAAGCAATAAAATATATTCATTAATCTTATTAGTTTTAATAATTAAATGTCTTCTAGCATTAACCTCAGCTTTATTTCAAGTTAAAGATGTGTTTTGACAACAAAGCATCAGAATTTTGACTTTCTGGAATTAAGTTCTTCATCAAGGTTTAAATCTTTGAAAAGTTTGAAAACACAGTTTGGCAATTAGCATCAACTCAAGATATCTGTAATCTTTTAAGTCTGAGAATCAAAGAATAAAGAGATTCCACTCAAAATAGCTCCTAGAATGTTCTGTCACATTTGCATTGTTTTTCAGCAATGTCCACTTCTTGTGTTATTAGTATAAAATGTGGCAGGTCTTCTCAATGTGGGCCTGCACTGTTTTCCAGGTGAACAGAATGGTTTTACCAAGATCTCATTACTGTTCACAGTTGGTGCTTTGTAATTCTATGTAATTTTAATTAAAGAAGAATTCTGAAACAGCCGCCCTCTGTGCTACCTCCAAGCATACAATTAGCAGAGTACAGTGTCTGCTGTGAACAGTCAGTTAATGATTTCAGTTTAATAATTTATTATTGCTGTTTCATTGCCAACCACACTAAAAAAATAAATAAGCAGCTAAAACTGTATGTAGCAAGCAGGCATTTAATGTGCAAAATTTAACAGTTTCAAAAGGAATACTTTCTTTGTGTATGTCTAATCTCTCCACAAACCCACAAGCCCCCAAATCTTCATGAATGAATGGATACCATTTTCTCTCCCAAATTTTCAAGTAAAAAATAAGTGTAAGTTTCCCTGTGTCTAGCTGATGGTTTCTATGTCAAAGCATCCTCCTCTTATTATTGCAAAGCAAGACATTTTCTTGAGTGAGATAGGCTAGCATGTTTATACAATGAAATTAAGGCAAATTTATAATAGTCTTTTTTGTATGAAAGTATGAAACTGAGATTTTAGTGATATTCAGATGTGCTTTAGTTAATGATTCTACAAAAATTTCTAAGGCATTAAAAAAATTTTGAGTATGCGGCCGGCGCCGCGGCTCACTAGGCTAATCCTCAGCCTTGCAGCGCCGGCACACCGGGTTCTAGTCCCGGTCTGGGCGCCGGATTCTGTCCCGGTTGCTCCTCTTCCAGGCCAGCTTTCTGCTATAGCCCGGGAGTGCAGTGGAGGATGGCCCAGGTGCTTGGGCCCTGCACCCCATGGGAGACCAGGAGAAGCACCTGGCTCCTGCCATCGGATCTGCGCGGTGCACCGGCCACAGCGCGCTGGCTGCGGTGGCCATTGGAGGGTGAACCAATGGCAAAGGAAGACCTTTCTCTCTGTCTCTCTCACTGTCCACTCTGCCTGTCAAAAAAAAAATTTTTTTTTTGAGTATGAAGTTGCAGGATGTGAAAATATTACAGCACAACAAATACAAATACACCCTCCACTGCCCCAGTCAGAGAGAGTAGGCAGCTTGAAGCTTGGAGGCAGGAAACTCTTTGAGGTCACCTTTAAAATCAGCAGAAGCCTTCAGCACCATGCAGAAGAGGGAGTGGAGACCGGTCTGTAGCAGAGAGAGCAATGTGACACTCCCAAGTCCTACTTCCCAGTTCTGCCTCTTCCCAGCCTTACCAGGCCTGTGCCCTGCACCACTTAAAAGCTGTCATTTCAGTCTGCTCTGGCTCTCATGGAGACCTTGTCAATGAACTGGGTGAATGATAGGCCCATCCCCACATGGCACACAGGCACACACTCCATAGTTTCTGTTGGCATTAAGCCTAATAATGGCCAGCTATAACCTCAGGGCCAGGCCCCACGTTCATGTCTCCTCTGCCTTCCAGGAACGTCTAGAATGGATTCACAGGACAGATTGTGATGGAAAGGCGTGGTGTTTTGTTTTTTTTTTCTTTTCTTTTGGAAATGACCCCTTGAGAAGTGGTCAGGCACCTGAAAGATGATCAGCTTTGAAGGCTCCTGATTTCAGGTAGTCCTAGAAGGAGACCAGTGACTTTGCTGTCTGCTTGTCACAGATGTAGTGTCTGTGTCTAGATTATTCTGGGATGATAATGATGCCATAAAAAGTCTCCAAGTTCTAAAATGAGATGTTACCCCAAGTTGAAAATATGGACAAGAAGTTGTGTTGCAATTCCTGATCCTGAAATGATTTTTCATTTAAAGAAATCACATTAGCATTAGAGCAGAAGAGTCTAGCTGTTTACATTAGCCTTTCTTTTAACAGTCAATGTAAAGCAGTCTCAAAATATATAATCACCAGTTCTTTCAATGAATTTGTTTCATATGAATCCATTTCAAAAGCTGGCACCTGAGCTGTAAAAATGTGGAAAAATTAAGTTTGACAAAACAGATACCAAATGCAGAGGAACCAAACCATACCTTTAAATTATACTCTTCAATATTGGATTCAAAGGGAAAGATAATACACTGGATGCAATTTTCCTTTAATTATGGATATAAAAGATTATAGGCTATTATATAATAATACTTTTTGCTTGTGTATATTCACAGTCATATATATACATAATAATCTACATAATAGTTAAAATCATATTTGTGTATAGTTTAACATTTTAATTTATAGAAATTAGTAGATTTTAAATACTGATTACAATCAAATTATATTTCCTTGTTGTAAGGGACCTAGTGGTCAGAAACAATTTTAGAAAAGCAAACATAGTTGAGTAAAATTGAGAGCAATAAAAAAATTACCTTAAGGTTACCCTAAATTTTAGCACTTGAACTTCGCTTTATCCTTTCTCATTATGTATATGATAAAACATAGAGCTGAAATGAGGTTAAAAAGAGTACAATAGCTACACAAAGAGATAAAAGAAATATATAATTAATCTATTCTCTTTTCCCAAAGGTTGGGGTAAGTAGAATGTGGAATGAGTTGATAGCCTGGACTTTGCAAATAATATCATTTAAATGATATTCCCTTAAAAGCAATAAAAACAAAAGCACGGATGCATATGACTTTACTGCCTAAGCATTCATCTGGCAGTGCTTAAATAGTGAAGTGAGACTGTGTGCAATGAATAATACAATACTGTAATTATGTTCACAAATCCAAGCATAAATGACTTAATGTAGCCGTGTTGCATTAGACGCAAAACTTTTCCATCAATAAAAAAATAGAACAGGTTTATTCAAAATAGCAATGATACTATTGTCTTTAATTTATGATTCATAAATTCTATGTAAGGTCTATAACAGTTTTTAAAAGTAGCACTAGGAGTCATTTTCATGCTATTATTTCTTTCAGTTTTACTGTCACTTCAGTAATCAATCAAAATGCACTAAAATTCACACCTATCAATTTGTCCAAAATTTGTTATTCAGTTTATGACTTATAAACAAAATTTTAGACAGAAAGTAATGGATGCCTATTGCTGTTTCCTGCAATAGCTTTAAATATGAATTGCTTAAGAAACACTTTAACAAAACAGCAATCTAAGGAAGTATATTAAAATCATGCCCTATTGTCCATAAAATAGCAGTTGGAAAATGTACTCTGTTCCATTCTGTATGTTGTTTGAGAATAAGAACAATGCCACTTAATTGTTTTTCAGATATTCGGGACAGTGGGGGTCCCAAACCAGTGATGGTATACATCCATGGTGGATCCTATATGGAAGGTACTGGAAATTTATACGATGGCAGTGTCTTGGCAAGTTATGGCAACGTGATCGTCATCACCGTGAACTATCGACTTGGAGTACTTGGTAAGAAGTTTCTTTTTGTTTGTTTTTCAGCATTAATCCATGAAGTACGCGATAGTTTTGTTTTGCTTCTTATTATTCCACTCTTTGTTCTGTGCTTGTTGCTTTTTTAATATGTAAATGAATACTACTAATGTTCAAAAGTATTTGATAATGGACAGCTAGGGCTTAAGATTTGAAACAAAAAGGTAATAAAATTGTTTCTGTTGTTGAGGAATGTTATGTCCTAGTTTGGCTTTATGAAACTATGAAAGACAACAGTGGCAGGGCCTTCCTAAAGATGAGTTAGTTCCTGAACAGATTTTTCCTTCTTCTACTTTTGTTTTTTACTATGCTATAAAGTTGCCTAAGGTTTGCCATGAGCTAAATAACTTCATGTAATCATCTACAATATGTGTTTGGCTTGGCTTGGTGGAGTGATTGTTTTTCAACTGAGCAGGGGGAGGGTAGTTGGGAGAGTCTCATATATTTAGGGATATTTTCTTTGAATTAACTTTGATTAGATTATTTTAGAGATCATACGATGATTTCACAAGATGACAAATATGTCAGTTCAGTTATGTGTACTGAGCCCATAAAAATTAGGAAATAAAACCTAAGTAGAGATTCTTGATTTTAAAGAAAAATATGGAGAAATATTATTTACAAAGTAACTTGTCAGGTAGTCTGAAATTAGCATGTTTCATGTGATAATTAATTTTTAAAAGATAAACAGTATAAAGTTACAATGTTGTCATAATTTCAGGAGTAAAATTACTTCATCTTTATCCCTGGTATTTTAGTAACAGAATTTGCTAAAGCAGCACAACTCATCCACAAAATAATCTATTTTTGTAATTGTAATTTTTATCTGTTTTATCATATCCTATAGACTTACAAGAATACAATTTGTAATTTTCTTCAGATACAAAGAGGCACCTCTTTTATTCTTTAAAATATTTGGAAAATGAATTTGAATTATTCTTTTCCATAATTACCATTAATATATATTCATATCATGTTGAGAATCTATTTTTTCCTTTTCAGGTTTAGTAATCTTTTTTTTTTGTATCATCAGACTTTATAACATCAGACTCTCAAGCTAAAAAATAGTATATTTGTTCCTCAAGTTCAGCTATCTTGGGGAAGGAGATAGTTTAACAATGTGAAGTTGAAATTTTGATCTTTTTCTAGTTGCTATTTTGAAATTTGGATGATACAGCATATACTTTACATCAGTGTAAGCATAAATTATTTCTGGAACATTGTTTAAGTACACCTCAATTCCTCCATTATGTTTAATCATGCATTGCAACTCTATATTGGAAGATATGTAAAGAAATGCTCATAATTATTCTTAAAAATCTTAATGTTGTCACATTTGAATATGAGGATCTTCAATATCTTTCATGGATTTAATTATAATCTTACTTTAAGCACAGTTGTGCCTTTTGACTATGATTCTCATATATTTTTGAATTTATTAAATTGAAAATCTTGAGCAGTGACTAGTTTGCAGTTTGAAAACTTAAAACTAAATGCCAAAATGTGGTTAATAGTGTTCTTGAACAATTGAACATCTTGTAAGTTTTGTGATTAGTTAAAAGAATCTTCCAGCCAGACATTATGACACCTCTTTGTGTTATTGGTTATACACACATGAAGTAAGATGTCATAAAATCATGTTGTTAATATAAATGTCCAATTTTTAATATTCATAACTGGTGAACACTTATCTTTGATCCAGACTGAATCTTATATTCATGCCTATATCCTGTCTTTAAAGTCCATATTGCATGATTGGATTACAGGACAATAGATTGACCAGCTCAAAAATGAAGAACTCTATCAATTGCTACATTTGTATGTTGACAAATATGTTGGTGTTGATGAAGGATAGTTTTCCTGATGTCAAATATTTCTTCTGGCTACTGAAATTTAGGTTTTAAGCTTTAGTTGGGTCCTTAAGTCTTCATAAACACAAATAATAATCAATTCAACTTTGTTCTACAGGGGACAGCATTGAGAAATGCTTCTCAATAGGACAGGGTAGTGTTGTTAGCAAAACATTTTCAGATGCATCTTAGAACATTAGTTCTAGAACAGATGTATTCTGGTAACCTTTTTCCTTGGGCCTTCTGAAAACATATTTAAATGGATCACTTCATAAGAAAGACATTCCTAGGCATGGTTTATCACAATGCAGGAGGGCTGCATCACCGGCAGATCAGTAACAATGTGTTCTGTACCAACGTAGGTCCAGTACCAACTAGAGTTCTGAGCTGATTCTTGTGACTAATTTGTCTAACAGTAACAGTTTGTACTTGGGTAATGTTGGAAATCAGTAGGAAATAATACTGAAACTCTCATCAGAGAAAATCCTGAGCTGTCTTTTGATGCCAGTATTTTGGTGTGAAGGAAATAAATTGTAGGGTCCAAAGTCAAAGCTTGTTAATTATTAATAATGTTACTCTGAGGTGATTGGCAAAAAGGATGAGAATGTCTGGAACAAGCAATACAGTTGCTGTTGGTTTATATTTGCCATCATGAGCAGGAGAGATCTTTATGGGTTCTTGTTTGTAGTAATAAGTAGAACTATGATGATGTTTCAATCAATATTCATGCAGCCAGTCAGGGCCCAAGGGTCGAGTTTCAAGCACTTGATATTATAAAAAAGTATTTTGTTTGTTAAAAAACAAGTACCCCTTCTAATGCTATTGCTCTGAACAAGCTAGTGATGGGTCAGAGGAAGATCCTCCACCAACTCTTCGGTCATTTACTTGGGAGAGGTAGCACACACTTTGGCTATTGTGTTGTGAATGATTTTCCCTCTGGAAATGCTGTGATGGTGATTATAAAAACTGCTAAGAAAGCTGACGAAAAGGCCGAGCCATAAAGTACTCTGTATGCTAAGCTGTCTTCTCCGGTTTTACCCTAAGTTCTTAGTGACCCTGATTATAACTCAGCATTTAGACCTTCAGTTCTGGCTGTATACCTTTTGTGTCCTCAGGTACTTTTCACATAACTCCCCTTATTTACTTTCTTCAACATCTGTCATTAAACACATGGTTACAAAGACCTCAAAAATGCATTTGTAAGAGTTATTAGTAACTTTTAATATCAAGTGCCTGATTAATAAAACCTAACAGTTTGGAAACCAACAGAGAAATGTTGGAATTTTATGTCTTAAAGAGAAAAATAACCAGTGTTAAATGTTCTGATTGTATGTGTGTTCTAATGGACAAGAATTCAAAAAAAATATAAAATCATTCATTGTGTGGATGAGATATTGTACATTATGGATTTTTGAAAATAGAAACTGCAAATAATAATGCATTTTCAAACCTTGAAAAATACATCAAGCAATTTGGCATTTAAATATGCTTTAGTCATTTCTCTAAATTTAGAGTATATTCATAATTTAACATTTTAGGTGAAAGAAACATTTTAACACTACTATGAAAATTTAGCTTTAGCAAACATAAGATTGTGTTTGATGGAAATTTAATAAGTAACTTTTATCTAGATGTGGATATTTTGGAGGATTTTATGCAGGTCATAATTCTAGTCCATGTGGTTTAATATAGGAAAATATGTGTTAAATATTTCAGAAGTGTGGATTTCTGTATTTTGCAAGTTTTGGGAAAACGATCTAATTAAGTACTTAGAAATCTAATATCTATACTACCCATCCATGAAAAAATTATTTTGAAGCATAGCCCATTTACTTGTATTTGAAGAATTACATTTAATTTACTTTATAATGCCACATAAAGCTAAATTACTTAAATTTTTGTTACCTTTACTACATTATCAATTTTAATGAACACCTAAATTTATTTATACTCTATTAGATTTTGTTAATGAGATTTCTTGATTAGTAAAACTAGATTGTGTGTACAATAATAAGACCACATATTGGCAGAGAAATGACAGGAATAAATACTTTGGTATGGCCAATCATCAAGTTTGTTTCCAGCAACATGCATGTTATATGAGGGATAAAAGTAAAGACAATATAATCTATAAAGATATTTTGATTTGAAGTGAGAAATTAACAGTATAAAATAATAATTGATATTCTACTTTATATTATATAATAAATTTTATTAATTGATTTACACATAGATTCACTTGATATATAAGAAGAAAAATCAGAACAATAGAAAAAGGAAGGAAATGTATAATATTAGATAGATTAATAAGGATTCAATGACTGAGATTTATATTTCTATTTAAGTAGTCCAGGAGCAAGATTTTCTAAAAGTCTTTGTTATGTTCATGATTTAAAGAGCATGTTAGTTCTTCAAGCAGTACACTGTTTTGTCTTTGTTTTTCTTATTTCATGAATTATTTTTGTTTCTGCCAGGCTCTAAAAGAAAAAAAAAAAACTCAAATGTGGCTTATATTTGAGTGTAAGATATAAAAAATATTACATTTATATTAAAATCCTACTACATGTCCAAATGTATTCTTCAGAAGTAGAAGGAAAGGCAGTCAATCTGTTTTTGGAGTCCAGACTATCTTCATGGACTAGATAGCATTTAACCAGACCACATCCAGAGATTAAGGAAAGAGAAAAGAATTACTTTAAATTTATTCATAATCTTTGTACCTCAAAAAGTGAAAATAATCTGTAAAAAATGCGCACATAGAAACAGATGGTTAAGATTACATTTGAATATTGAATAAAGATATGGAGGCCATAAATACGTATATCATGAACATAAATGCAGCTCCTAGCTTTCCAGGAGAATAGTAAAAAAAAAAATGAAGAATTTCAAAATTATCATTATCAAAAAGGGAACATATATTCTCATCAGAAATAAATATGTAAATACATTTTTCTCATTTTATGTTACAGAGAAACTTGCTATATAAATTGTATTGTTTTATTTTGGAACATGAAACAATATAGGAATTGTGTGATAATCTTCATATTGGTAGAAGTTAGAGAAATTTATCATTGTTATTATTTGCAGTAAACTTCTATTAAAACCAAACACATAATAACAAATGCTCAC